TAGCTATTAAAAAAACCTATCGATTCGTATTTTTAAATATATCGATTGCGATATTACTTTTCGAGATATAACGAAAAAACCGTCAAAAATGTTTTTGTTTTTGCTGTATCTCTTGCAAATTAAGGGTTTGAAACTTGTTACTTGCTGTAAATGTAGCCCTCAGGAAGCAAAAAAGTACCTTTTTTAAATTAATTTTAAAATTTTTCCTTAAGAGTTGTACTTTCATGGTAAAAAAGAGTGATAGTGATTTTATTAATTTCAAGTGTCCAAAGATGACTGAAAAAAGTAAAAATTTTTTGATCGCGTTTTTCTTGCATATCTTTTTCGATTTTCATTTCTCTAAATAAAAATAGGTACTTTTTTTATTGCATTTACTTCAAGTAACAAGTTTTAAAAAATTAATTTGCAAGAGATACAGCAAAAAAAAAGTCGACTTTTGACGGTTTTTTCGATATATCTCGAAAAGTAATATAGCAATTGATATATATATATATTGTTAAGGAATATTCATCTCCAGACAGGGCGAACTGGAGACACTCTTTATATCGGCGTTTTATAAACAAACGCCGGATAACCAAAACAAACGGAGATCAAGCGTTCGGGCGACACCCGGTGAAGAGGCATAAGATAGGATTACTCAGATATGAATGTTTGAAGCGGTAACTTCCTATAAATTTTTGTTAATAAAAGTGTATAATCGAATTGTTAGTTAACATTTGTTTTAACATATCAGAAGCGGGATTCGTACCTGTATATTTAATTCTGTTTTGATAAAATTCATGTGTATTGTGCTAGTGAGAAAACACCTTTATTGGTGAGTACTGTTTATTACTTATTTGCTGTCTGTCTGCTCATTCGTTAAGCGCTTTTACATTTTTGGGTCTGCTTGACCATTTTTATTATTTTCATTTGATTTGTTAAATTCGCAAAAAAAAGTACATTGTGCAAAAATATTCTAACAATGACGGGACGTTCAAGCCGTAGCCGAGTACGTAAACAGGATAGCAGTCATCGCCGACGGCTCGCTTCCAGGCGTGATCGAAGCCGTAGCCAAAATAATCGAAGTGTTAGTCCGCGTTATACACAAATTTTGGAACGTCGACTTAACGCATTAGAAACTTTGGTTCGAGCTACCCATTCTAGCCGAGATACCTCAAGTGATTTACGAGCTGCACTTCAAACTACGGCGGCACGTTCTCGGAGTCCACACGACGCAAATTTAATAAATAAACAAAGATATGTAGGGCGGATGGAATTAATACCTGAATTTGATGGTTCTTC